TTGGAGTAAGGTGACTAGGTGAGTGAGTGACTAGGTGAGTGACTAGGTGAGTGACTAGGTGAGTGACTAGGTGAGTGACTAGGTGAGTGAGTGACTAGGTGAGCGGGTGACTAGGTGAGCGGGTGACTAGGTGACTAGGTGAGTGAGTGACTAGGTGAGTGACTACGTGAGTGACTAGGCGGGTGACTAGGTGAGCGGGTGACTAGGTGAGTGACTAGGTGAGCGGGTGACTCACTCTTCCTCTGTCTTGCCCATGTTGGAGTAAGGTGACTAGGTGGGTGACTAGGTGAGTGACTAGGTGAGTGGGTGACTAGGTGAGTGACTAGGTGAGTGACTAGGTGAGCGAGTGAGTGACTAGGTGAGTGACTAGGTGAGCGAGTGAGTGACTAGGTGAGTGACTAGGTGAGCGGGTGACTAGGTGAGCGGGTGACTAGGTGAGCGGGTGACTAGGTGAGCGGGTGACTAGGTGAGCAGGTGACTCACTCTTCCTCTGTCTTGCCCATGTTGGAGTAAGGTGACTAGGTGAGTGACTAGGTGAGTGACTAGGTGAGTGACTAGGTGAGTGACTAGGTGAGTGACTAGGTGGGTGACTAGGTGAGCGGGTGACTCACTCTTCCTCTGTCTTGCCCATGTTGGAGTAAGGTGACTAGGTGAGTGACTAGGTGAGTGACTAGGTGAGCGGGTGACTCACTCTTCCTCTGTCTTGCCCATGTTGGAGTAAGGTGACTAGGTGAGTGACTAGGTGAGTGACTAGGCGGGTGACTAGGTGAGCGGGTGACTCACTCTTCCTCTGTCTTGCCCATGTTGGAGTAAGGTGACTAGGTGAGTGACTAGGTGAGTGACTAGGCGAGTGACTAGGTGAGCGGGTGACTCACTCTTCCTCTGTCTTGCCCATGTTGGAGTAAGGTGACTAGGTGAGTGACTAGGTGAGTGACTAGGTGAGTGACTAGGTGAGTGGGTGACTAGGTGAGTGACTAGGTGAGTGACTAGGTGAGTGACTAGGTGAGTGACTAGGTGAGTGACTAGGTGAGTGGGTGACTAGGTGAGCGGGTGACTCACTCTTCCTCTGTCTTGCCCATGTTGGAGTAAGGTGACTAGGTGGGTGACTAGGTGAGTGACTAGGTGAGTGACTAGGTGAGTGACTAGGTGAGCGAGTGAGTGACTAGGTGAGCGGGTGACTCACTCTTCCTCTGTCTTGCCCATGTTGGAGTAAGGTGACTAGGTGAGTGACTAGGTGAGTGACTAGGTGAGTGACTAGGTGAGTGACTAGGTGAGTGACTAGTTGAGTGACTAGGCAGGTGACTAGGTGAGCGGGTGACTCACTCTTCCTCTGTCTTGCCCATGTTGGAGTAAGGTGACTAGGTGAGTGACTAGGTGAGTGGGTGACTAGGTGAGTGACTAGGCGGGTGACTAGGTGAGCGGGTGACTAGGTGAGCGGGTGACTCACTCTTCCTCTGTCTTGCCCATGTTGGAGTAAGGTGACTAGGTGAGTGACTAGGTGAGTGACTAGGTGAGTGACTAGGTGAGTGACTAGGTGAGTGAGTGACTAGGTGAGCGGGTGACTAGGTGAGCGGGTGACTAGGTGACTAGGTGAGTGAGTGACTAGGTGAGTGACTACGTGAGTGACTAGGCGGGTGACTAGGTGAGCGGGTGACTAGGTGAGTGACTAGGTGAGCGGGTGACTCACTCTTCCTCTGTCTTGCCCATGTTGGAGTAAGGTGACTAGGTGGGTGACTAGGTGAGTGACTAGGTGAGTGGGTGACTAGGTGAGTGACTAGGTGAGTGACTAGGTGAGCGAGTGAGTGACTAGGTGAGTGACTAGGTGAGCGAGTGAGTGACTAGGTGAGTGACTAGGTGAGCGGGTGACTAGGTGAGCGGGTGACTAGGTGAGCGGGTGACTAGGTGAGCGGGTGACTAGGTGAGCGGGTGACTCACTCTTCCTCTGTCTTGCCCATGTTGGAGTAAGGTGACTAGGTGAGTGACTAGGTGAGTGACTAGGTGAGTGACTAGGTGAGTGACTAGGTGAGTGACTAGGTGGGTGACTAGGTGAGCGGGTGACTCACTCTTCCTCTGTCTTGCCCATGTTGGAGTAAGGTGACTAGGTGAGTGACTAGGTGAGTGACTAGGTGAGCGGGTGACTCACTCTTCCTCTGTCTTGCCCATGTTGGAGTAAGGTGACTAGGTGAGTGACTAGGTGAGTGACTAGGCGGGTGACTAGGTGAGCGGGTGACTCACTCTTCCTCTGTCTTGCCCATGTTGGAGTAAGGTGACTAGGTGAGTGACTAGGTGAGTGACTAGGCGAGTGACTAGGTGAGCGGGTGACTCACTCTTCCTCTGTCTTGCCCATGTTGGAGTAAGGTGACTAGGTGAGTGACTAGGTGAGTGACTAGGTGAGTGACTAGGTGAGCGGGTGACTAGGTGAGTGACTAGGTGAGTGACTAGGTGAGTGACTAGGTGAGTGACTAGGTGAGTGGGTGACTAGGTGAGCGGGTGACTCACTCTTCCTCTGTCTTGCCCATGTTGGAGTAAGGTGACTAGGTGGGTGACTAGGTGAGTGACTAGGTGAGTGACTAGGTGAGTGACTAGGTGAGCGAGTGAGTGACTAGGTGAGCGGGTGACTCACTCTTCCTCTGTCTTGCCCATGTTGGAGTAAGGTGACTAGGTGAGTGACTAGGTGAGTGACTAGGTGAGTGACTAGGTGAGTGACTAGGTGAGTGACTAGGTGAGTGACTAGGCAGGTGACTAGGTGAGCGGGTGACTCACTCTTCCTCTGTCTTGCCCATGTTGGAGTAAGGTGACTAGGTGAGTGACTAGGTGAGTGGGTGACTAGGTGAGTGACTAGGCGGGTGACTAGGTGAGCGGGTGACTAGGTGAGCGGGTGACTCACTCTTCCTCTGTCTTGCCCATGTTGGAGTAAGGTGACTAGGTGAGTGACTAGGTGAGTGACTAGGTGAGTGACTAGGTGGGTGACTAGGTGAGCGGGTGACTCACTCTTCCTCTGTCTTGCCCATGTTGGAGTAAGGTGACTAGGTGAGTGACTAGGTGAGTGACTAGGTGAGCGGGTGACTCACTCTTCCTCTGTCTTGCCCATGTTGGAGTAAGGTGACTAGGTGAGTGACTAGGTGAGTGACTAGGTGAGTGACTAGGCGGGTGACTAGGTGAGCGGGTGACTCACTCTTCCTCTGTCTTGCCCATGTTGGAGTAAGGTGACTAGGTGAGTGACTAGGTGAGTGACTAGGCGAGTGACTAGGTGAGCGGGTGACTCACTCTTCCTCTGTCTTGCCCATGTTGGAGTAAGGTGACTAGGTGAGTGACTAGGTGAGTGACTAGGTGAGTGACTAGGTGAGCGGGTGACTAGGTGAGTGACTAGGTGAGTGACTAGGTGAGTGACTAGGTGAGTGAGTGACTAGGTGAGTGACTAGGTGAGCGGGTGACTAGGTGAGTGACTAGGTGAGTGACTAGGTGAGTGAGTGACTAGGTGAGTGAGTGACTAGGTGAGTGACTAGGTGAGTGACTAGGTGAGTGACTAGGTGAGCGAGTGAGTGACTAGGTGAGTGAGTGACTAGGTGAGTGACTAGGTGAGTGACTAGGTGAGTGACTAGGTGAGTGAGTGACTAGGTGAGCAAGTGAGTGACTAGGCGGATGACTAGGTGAGTGACTAGGCGGGTGACTAGGTGAGTGACTAGGCGGGTGACTAGGTGAGTGAGTGACTAGGTGAGCGACTAGGTGAGTGACTAGGTGAGTGAGTGACTAGGTGAGTGACTAGGTGAGTGGGTGACTAGGTGAGCGGGTGACTCACTCTTCCTCTGTCTTGCCCATGTTGGAGTAAGGTGACTAGGTGAGTGACTAGGTGAGTGACTAGGTGAGTGACTAGGTGAGCGGGTGACTCACTCTTCCTCTGTCTTGCCCATGTTGGAGTAAGGTGACTAGGTGAGTGACTAGGTGAGCGAGTGAGTGACTAGGTGAGTGACTAGGTGAGCGGGTGACTCACTCTTCCTCTGTCTTGCCCATGTTGGAGTAAGGTGACTAGGTGAGTGACTAGGTGAGTGACTAGGTGAGTGACTAGGTGAGCGGGTGACTCACTCTTCCTCTGTCTTGCCCATGTTGGAGTAAGGTGACTAGGTGAGTGACTAGGTGAGTGACTAGGTGAGTGACTAGGTGAGCGGGTGACTCACTCTTCCTCTGTCTTGCCCATGTTGGAGTAAGGTGACTAGGTGAGTGACTAGGTGAGTGACTAGGTGAGTGACTAGGTGAGTGGGTGAGTGACTAGGTGGGTGACTAGGTGAGCGGGTGACTCACTCTTCCTCTGTCTTGCCCATGTTGGAGTAAGGTGACTAGGTGAGTGACTAGGTGAGTGAGTGACTAGGCGGGTGACTAGGTGAGCGGGTGACTCACTCTTCCTCTGTTTTGCCCATGTTGGAGTAAGGTGACTAGGTGAGTGACTAGGTGAGTGACTAGGTGAGTGACTAGGTGAGTGAGTGACTAGGTGAGTGACTAGGTGAGTGACTAGGTGAGCGGGTGACTAGGTGAGCGGGTGACTCACTCTTCCTCTGTCTTGCCCATGTTGGAGTAAGGTGACTAGGTGAGTGACTAGGCGGGTGACTAGGTGAGCGGGTGACTCACTCTTCCTCTGTCTTGCCCATGTTGGAGTAAGGTGACTAGGTGAGTGACTAGGTGAGTGACTAGGTGAGTGACTAGGCGGGTGACTAGGTGAGCGGGTGACTCACTCTTCCTCTGTCTTGCCCATGTTGGAGTAAGGTGACTAGGTGAGTGACTAGGTGAGTGACTAGGTGAGTGACTAGGCGGGTGACTAGGTGAGCGGGTGACTCACTCTTCCTCTGTCTTGCCCATGTTGGAGTAAGGTGACTAGGTGAGTGACTAGGCGGGTGACTAGGTGAGCGGGTGACTAGGTGAGCGGGTGACTAGGTGAGTGGGTGACTCACTCTTCCTCTGTCTTGCCCATGTTGGAGTAAGGTGACTAGGTGAGTGACTAAGTGAGTGACTAGGTGAGTGACTAGGTGAGCGGGTGACTCACTCTTCCTCTGTCTTGCCCATGTTGGAGTAAGGGTTTTCCCTCATGGACCGAGTCTTGGGGTCATAGTAAGCGGAGTTGGGGTCAAGGTTCCTCAGGTACTGCGGAGGCAAAGTCACACCCAGGTAGCCTCAGTACACTGTAGGGGCAAGTGCTGTGAGTAGCAGCAGATACAGACACAGATACAGACCCCCAGGTAGCCTCAGTACACTGTAGGGGCAAGTGCTGTGAGTAGCAGACACAGATACAGACACACAGACCCCCAGGTAGCCTGTAACAGACTGAGGGCAAGTGCTGTGAGTAGCAGATACAGACACAGACCCCCAGGTAGCCTGTAACAGACTGTAGGGGCAAGTGCTGTGAGTAGCAGATACAGACACAGATACAGACACCCAGGTAGCCTCAGCAGACTGTAGGGGCAAGTGCTGTGAGTAGCAGCAGATACAGACACAGATACAGACACCCAGGTAGCCTCAGCAGACTGTAGGGGCAAGTGCTGTGAGTAGCAGCAGATACAGACACAGACATAGACACCCAGGTAGCCTCAGCAGACTGTAGGGGCTAGTGCTGTGAGTAGCAGCAGATACAGACACAGACCCCCAGGTAGCCTGTAACAGACTGTAGGGGCAAGTGCTGTGAGTAGCAGATACAGACACAGATACAGACACCCAGGTAGCCTCAGCAGACTGTAGGGGCAAGTGCTGTGAGTAGCAGCAGATACAGATACAGACACAGACATAGACACCCAGGTAGCCTCAGCAGACTGTAGGGGCAAGTGCTGTGAGTAGCAGCAGATACAGATACAGACACCCAGGTAGCCTGTAACAGACTGTTGGGGCAAGTGCTGTGAGTAGCAGCAGCAACAGCAGACCCCCAGGTAGCCTCAGCACACTGTAGGGGCAAGTGCTGTGAGTAGCAGCAGATACAGACACAGACCCCCAGGTAGCCTCAGCAGACTGTTGGGGCAAGTGCTGTGAGTGGCGAGTAGCAGACACAGATACAGACACAGACCCCCAGGTAGCCTCAGCAGACTGTGAGGGCAAGTGCTGTGAGTAGCGAGTAGCAGACACAAACACAGATACAGACACAGACCCCCAGGTAGCCTCAGCAGACTGTTGGGGCAAGTGCTATGAGTAGCAGCAGATACAGATACACAGACCCCCAGGTAGCCTCAGCAGACTGTAGGGGCAAGTGCTGTGAGTAGCAGCAGATACAGACACAGACCCCCAGGTAGCCTCAGCAGACTGTTGGGGCAAGTGCTGTGAGTAGCAGCAGCAGACACAGACACCCAGGTAGCCTCAGCAGACTGTAGGGGCAAGTGCTGTGAGTGGCAAGTAGCAGACACAGATACAGATACAGACACAGACCCCCAGGTAGCCTCAGCAGACTGTTGGGGCAAGTGCTGTGAGTAGCAGCAGATACAGACACAGATACAGACCCCCAGGTAGCCTGAGCAGACTCTAGGGGCAAGTGCTGTGAGTGGCAAGTAGCAGACACAGACACAGACACCCAGGTAGACCGTAACAGACTGTGAGCTCGTGAGCGAGCGGGTGAGCGAGTGAGTGGGTGAGCGAGCGGGTGAGTGAGTGGGTGAGCGAGTGAGTGGGTGAGTGAGTGGGTGATCGAGTGAGTGGGTGAGCGAGTGAGTGGGTGAGCGAGCGGGCGGGTGAGCGAGTGAGTGGGTGAGTGAGTGAGTGAGCGAGTGAGTGGGCGAGTGAGCGGGTGAGCGAGTGAGTGAGTGAGTGGGTGAGTGGGTGAGTGAATGAGTGAGTGTGTGAGTGAGCGAGCGAGTTAGTGAACGAGTAAGTTAGTAAGTTAGTGAGTTAGTGAGTGAGTGAGTGAGTTGGTGAGTGAGTAAGTTAGTGAACGAGTGAGTGAGTGAGTGAATGAGTGAGCGAGCGAGTGAGTTACTGAGTTAGTGAGTGAGCGAGTGAGTTGGTGAGCGAGTGAGTTGGTGAGTTGGTGAGTTAGTGAGCGCGTGAGTTAGTGAGCGAGTGAGTGAGTTAGTGAGTGAGCGAGTGAATGAGTGAGTGTGTGAGCGAGTGAGTTAGTGAGTTAGTGAGCGGGTGAGAGAGTAAGTTGGTGAGTTGGTGAGTTGGTGAGTTAGTGGGTGAGTGAGTGGGTGGGTAAGTGGGCGAGTGAGTGAGCGAGTGAATGAGTGAGTGTGTGAGTGAGCGAGCGAGTTAGTGAGTTAGTGAACGAGTAAGTTAGTAAGTTAGTGAGTTAGTGAGTGAGTTGGTGAGTGAGTAAGTTAGTGAGCGAGTGAGTGAGTGAGTGAATGAGTGAGCGAGTGAGTTACTGAGTTAGTGAGTGAGCGAGTGAGTTGGTGAGTGAGTAAGTTAGTGAGCGAGTGAGTGAGTGAGTGAATGAGTGAGCGAGTGAGTTACTGAGTTAGTGAGTGAGTGAGTGAGTTGGTGAGTGAGTAAGTTAGTGAGCGAGTGAGTGAGTGAGTGAATGAGTGAGCGAGTGAGTGAGTGAGTTAGTGAGTGAGCGAGTGAGTTGGTGAGCGAGTGAGTGAGTGAGTGAGCGAGTGGACAGGCGTCTCACCTTGGCGGTGTCTTCACGGATGCGCAGGTTGCGCACGGTAATGCGCCGCTTCGAGTCGAAGTTGGTGCCCGGCATGTCAACGTCATCGGCGTACTTATCCTCATCCTCGTCCCCGCTGTTGTCCTTCTCCTGCAAAGGCAAAGGTCCCCCGTGTAGCCTCCGACGGTGCTGCTGGGGCAAGTGCTGTTACTACACACCGCACCAGGTACTCATTTGAGGCTGAGTCGACCCAGGGGAGGCCCCGGGACCGGTTTAGATAATCGTCACCGGTGTTGGCCGTGAGTGGGAATCGAACCCGGGGTCGCCGGGTTCGTAGCGCAGCGTAGCGCTAACCGCTACTACACTACCGCTCACAGACACACACAGACACACACAGACACACACACACAGACACAGACACACACAGACACACACACACAGACACACACACACAGACACACACACACAGACACACACACACACAGACACACACACACACAGACACACACACACAGACACACACACATACAGACACACACACAGACACACACACAGACACACACACAGACACACACACAGACACACACACACAGAGGGGTGTGGGTGGGTGGCCAGCACCATCTTGAGCCAAGTCGTAGCTGTGTTTGGTGTGCGAGAGTGAGTCTGTGTGTGAGTGTGTGTGGTGTGTGTGTGGTGTGTGTGGTGTGTGTGTGGTGTGTGTGAGTGTGTGTGGTGTGTGTGAGTGTGTGTGGTGTGTATGAGTGTGTGTGTGAGTGTGTGTGAGTGTGTGTGTGAGTGTGTGTGAGTGTGTGTGAGTGTGTGTGAGTGTGTGTGAGTGTGCGTGTGAGTGTGTGTGAGAGTGTGTGTGAGTGTGTGCGTGTGTGTGAGTGTGTGTGAGTGTGTGTGAGTGTGTGTGAGTGTGCGTGTGAGTGTGTGTGAGTGTGTGTGAGTGTGCGTGCGCGTGTGTGTAAGTGCGTGAGTGTGTGTGAGAGTGTGTGGTGCGTGTGTATGAGTGTGTGTGGTGTGTGTGTGGTGTGTGTGAGTGTGTGTGGTGTGTGTGAGTGTGTGTGGTGTGTATGAGTGTGTGTGTGAGTGTGTATGAGTGTGTGTGTGAGTGTGTATGAGTGTGTGTGAGTGTGTGTGTGAGTGCGTGTGGTGTGTGTGTGTGAGTGAGTGTGTGATGTGTGTGTGTGTGAGTGTGTGTGGTGCGTGTGTATGAGTGTGTGTGTGAGTGTGTGTGGTGAGTGTGTGTGTGAGTGTGTGTGGTGAGTGTGTATGAGTGTGTGTGGTGCGTGTGTGGTGTGTGTGTGTGTGGTGCGTGTGTGTGTGAGTGTGTGTGAGTGTGTGTGGTGCGTGTGTGTGAGTGTGTGTGCGCGTGTGAGTGTGTGTGTGAGTGTGTGTGTGAGAGTGTGTGTGAGTGTGTGTGTGGTGTGTGTGGTGTGTGTGTGTGGCGTGTGTGTGTGTGGTGTGAGTGTGTGGTGAGTGTGTGGTGAGTGTGTGGTGAGTGTGTGGTGAGTGTGTGTGGTGAGTGTGTGTGGTGAGTGTGTGTGTGTGAGTGCGCGCGTGTGGTGTGTGTGTGTGTGTGTGAGTGTGTGTGCGCGTGTGGTGCGTGTGTGTGAGTGTGATGAGTGTGGTGAGTGTGTGGTGAGTGTGTGGTGAGTGTGTGGTAAGTGTGGTGTGTGTGTGGTGTGTGTGTGGTGTGTGTGTGTGGTGTGTGTGTGTGGTGTGTGTGTGGTGAGTGTGTGTGGTGTGTGTGTGTGGTGTGTGTGTTGTGTGTGTGTTGTGTGTGTGGTGAGTGTGTGTGTGGTGTGTGTGTGGTGTGTGTGTGGTGTGTGTGTGTGGTGTGTGTGTGGTGAGTGTGTGTGTGTGGTGTGTGTGTGGTGAGTGTGTAGTGAGTGTGTGGTGAGTGTGTGGTGAGTGTGTGGTGTGTGTGTGGTGTGTGTGGTGTGTGTGTGGTGAGTGTGTGGTGAGTGTGGTGAGTGAGTGGTGAGTGTGTGGTGAGTGTGGTGAGTGAGTGGTGAGTGTGTGGTGAGTGTGTGGTGAGTGTGTGGTGTGTGTGGTGAGTGTGTGGTGAGTGTGTGGTGAGTGTGTGGTGAGTGTGTGGTGAGTGTGGTGAGTGTGTGGTGAGTGTGTGGTGTGTGTGTGGTGAGTGTATGTGGTGTGTGTGGTGTGAGTGTGAGTGTGTGGTGAGTGTGTGTGTAGTGATGGTGTGGTGAGTGTGAGTGTGTGGTGAGTGTGTGGTGTGTGTGTGGTGAGTGTGTGGTGAGTGTGTGGTGAGTGTGTGGTGTGTGTGGTGTGTGTGTGGTGAGTGTGTGGTGAGTGTGTGGTGTGTGTGTGGTGTGTGTGGTGTGTGTGTGGTGAGAGTGTGGTGAGTGTGTGGTGAGTGTGTGGTGTGTGAGTGGTGAGTGTGTGGTGTGTGAGTGTGTGGTGAGTGTGGTGAGTGAGTGGTGAGTGTGTGGTGAGTGTGTGGTGAGTGTGTGGTGAGTGTGGTGTGTGTGAGTGTGTGGTGAGTGTGTGGTGAGTGTGTGGTGAGTGTGTGGTGAGTGTGGTGAGTGTGTGGTGAGTGTGGTGAGTGTGTGGTGTGTGTGTGTGTGGTGAGTGTATGTGGTGTGTGTGTGTGTGTGGTGTGAGTGTGAGTGTGTGGTGAGTGTGTGTGGTGTGTGTGTGTGTGTGGTGTGAGTGTGAGTGTGTGGTGAGTGTGTGTGTAGTGATGGTGTGGTGAGTGTGAGTGTGTGGTGAGTGTGTGGTGTGTGTGTGGTGTGTGTGTGGTGAGTGTGTGGTGAGTGTGTGGAGAGTGTGTGAGTGTGGTGAGTGTGTGAGTGTGGTGAGTGTGGTGAGTGTGGTGAGTGTGTGAGTGTGTGGTGAGTGTGGTGAGTGTGGTGAGTGTGTGGTGAGTGTGTGGTGTGTGTGGTGAGTGTGTGGTGAGTGTGTGGTGTGTGTGTGGTGTGTGTGTGTGGTGAGTGTGTGGTGAGTGTGTGGTGAGTGTGTGGTGAGTGTGGTGAGTGTGTGGTGTGTGTGGTGAGTGTGGTGAGTGTGTGGTGAGTGTGTGGTGTGTGGTGTGTGGTGAGTGTGAGTGTGTGGTGTGTGTGTGTATGTGTGTGTGGTGTGTGTCCGGCAAAACAACCCCCTACCTCCTCGCGGTGCCGGACGGGCAACTCTGTCGTGGACAGCGCTGTGGGGGGAGATCCAATTTTGATTGGCTCCTCCCCTCATGGCATATGTGTCCACCACAGGGGCTAAACGGGGGCTCTGGACGGGTGCGAGGGGCTGGTAACCCCTCCACCTTCAATTAATTACCACGAAACTACGAATTAAACTGAAATATGTAACAACTAAGCTTGTGCCGGAGGCCCCGGGGGGCCAGGCGTCTATGACGTCTCCTGGCCAAACCCCAATTGGCGGAGCCAGGAGATTGAATACCTACCCTCGGGGCTACTCCAGAAACAACGAAAAGCCACTACGGTTGGCCACGTGGAATGTTCGAACGCTCACTGCAGAGGAGAGGCTGCCACTCCTCTGTCGGGAGCTGGACCGGTACCGCCTGGATCTATGCGGCATTCAGGAGGTCCGGTGGACCGGCTCTGGCTCCTGCCACCATGAGGGGTGGACAGTCCTCTACTCGGGGCAGCAGACTGCCAAACAACAGGGTGTGGGTCTTCTTTTGAACAAAAGAATGAAGGGGGCGTGGGAGCGTGGCGGTGAGGTGTGGGAAGCTGTAAGCCCCAGGCTACTTTGGGCTCGCCTTCCCATCAACCGGAGGCGAGGAATGGTGGTCGTGGTTACTTATGCCCCCACCGAAGATGAACATCCGTGGAGGGATGCAGGCAAAGCCGATGAGTCAGATGCCTTCTATGACCTCCTGTCACAGGTGCTGGTTAAAGTGGCCCCTCGGGATAGAGTCATCATGTTGGGTGACTTCAATGCCCGAGTTGGTCATGATACTGGCACCTGGTCTGGAGTGATTGGAGGGCATGGGCCAGATCAGCTCAATAACAACGGTAGGAGGCTGCTAGATTTTTGTGCAGCCCATGGGCTTGTAATTACCAACACGCTGTTCCGGCATCGGCGCATCCACACAACATCATGGATGCATGCCGGGTCCAAGCAAGAACATCTGCTGGATTACATAGTGACGGACCAGCGAATGCGAGCCCATGTCCTTGACACCAGGACCTACCGTGGAGCTGATCTGCCCTCTGACCATCGACTAGTCATCTGTAAGATGCGCCTGCCATTCTTCCACTCCGGTGGTGGGTGTACACCCAGGACCCCATTCCAACCTAAAGTGGCCTGGTCTCAGTTATCTGATGAAAGTTGCAAGCGAGAATTTCATCATCGCTTGCGGCTGGGATTGGCATCGTCCCCGACTCCTCCTGATGTCGAGGGTAAATGGGCGAGGTTTAGGACTGTGACTCATGCAGCTGCAATGGCTGCTTTGGGTACGCGGTCCAGACCTCCCCAGACACCCTGGATGACAGAGGAGTTGTTCAGGATGGTTGAGAAAAAGCGACAGGCCCACTGTCATCGGCTACAGAATCCCACGTCAGAGAATGAGGAGGCTTACCGCAGCCTTCGCTCGGAGGTTCGGAGAGCCGTGAGGCGCTGCAAGGATGGGTGGTGGTCGCGGGTTGCTGAGGAGATGGAGTCTGCCTCAGTGGCCCGTGATCACAAATCTCTATTTAACTCCATCAAAAAAGCAACCTGCAGCGCCACACCTATTACCATCATTAGGGGAAAAAACGGTGATCCAATTTCCGACCCCCAGGAACAGGTTCGCAGATTTGCTGAGCATTTCTGTGAGATCCTGGGGGAGGGAAAATCCCTCAGCCAGGAAAACATCGTGGCACAAAGTGAGGATGACCCTGCTGAGGCTGCGGTGCCTCAAATATTGGATGAAGTCACCCCCTGTGAGTGGCTGGCTGAGGTGCCATCTGCTGAGGAAGTATTGAAGGCGATCCGGAGTCTGAGACCAGGAAAGGCAGCGGGCAGAGATGATCTCCCAAGCGAAATGCTGAGGGAGGGTGGCGTTTGTGCACAGACTGCCCTATATGACATCATAACAACAGTCTGGACCACTGGACGTGTTCCGCAGGATTGGAAGGATGCCCTGGTGGTCCCCCTTTTTAAGAAGGGGGACCGCACAGACTGTAACAACTACAGGGGCATCTCACTCCTCAGTGTGCCGGGAAAGGTCCTGGCAAGGATTATTCAGCACCGCCTTGCCAGGCACGCTGAGGAGAGGCTTGCGGAGCCCCAATGCGGTTTCAGGAAAGGGCGGTCCTGCACAGATGCCATATTTTCTGTCCGTCTGCTACAGCAGAGGTGTAGGGAATTCCTACAAGACCTACATCTCTACTTTATTGACCTGGTCAAGGCCTATAATACCATCAGTAGGCCTAGGCTCTGGGTCGTTCTTCATGCTTTTGGAGTACCTGACCCTCTGCTCACGATCATTAAGGACCTTCATGATGGTGAGCGGGCCCGGGTAAAACTACGTGGCCGGGAGTCAGAGCCATTCCCTGTACACCTTGGGGTGCGACAGGGATGTCCTCTGGCTCCCACATTATTTAACATCTATTTCGACCACGTAGTTCGTGAAGCCTTCAATAGCTGTACCGGGGGAATCTCCATATGGTACAGATATAATGGGAGGCTAATCGATGCCCGGGTGCGGTCAAGGGATGGCTCCCTATTGCTCAACCACGTTATGTATGCTGATGACTTGGTAATAGCTGCTCAGTCAGAGGAGGAGTTGGAGACGCTGCTGCTGAGACTGGAGCGTGCCACTAAGAGGTGGGGCCTTACCATCAGCCCCACCAAAACTAAGCACCTGCCTGGGTATTTTGTACCATCGGACACTCCACCCCCACAACTCCCAATCGGTGACGGGGCAGTTGTGGAGAGAGTGGAGAGTTTCCCATACCTGGGCAGTGTGCTTATGACTGGCTCCAGTTTAACAGCAGAGGTCTCACTCCGAATCAGTCGAGCGGCAATATCTTTTCATCGGTTGCGTAACGCTGTGTGGAAGCTACCTGGTCTGTCGCTCCGCACTAAGCTTCAGGTCTTCTCGGCCACGGTCATTCCCTCCCTTCTCTACGCTTGCGAAACGTGGACCCCCCTAATGGAACATCTTCGCCGGTTAGAAACATTTAGGCTGGCCTGCCTACGATCCATCCTGGGTTTAACCAGACTGGATTGTGTGAGGAGCTCACAAATCCTTGAAAGATCTGGGCAGGGTCCCATCGGTGAGCTCCTCCGGCAGGCAAGGCTGCGATGGCTGGGTCATGTAGCCCGCATGCCCAGCCACCGCATGCCGAAACAGCTTTTGTTTGGCCGGATTGAGGGGGCTAAGCGGGCGCGGCACGGGCTAGAGAAGAGATGGAGTGATGTGGTACAGGAGGACGTGGAGCTGAGTGGACTTGCCGATGACTGGTACCAGCGGTGTCAAGAGCGGCCTCTGTGGAGGAGGCTCGTGAAGGATGCTACTGGGCAGTTGGAGGCAGTCGCCCTCCAACAACAACGGAGGGCGGAGGAGCGACGCTCACAACAGCGAGCGGAGCGCCGGGTGGCTAAAGCACAGCAGGTTGGCACAGTAGGGGGCACAGGTGGTGCATCAGCCAGTCATCTCAGTCAGTCGACCCGTGGCACCTGGGTCTGCCCCGTGACCTCCTGCCAGCGGGCGTTCGACACTTCACGTGGCCTCAGGGTGCACATAGCCTGGCACAAGCGTCGTGGTGACGTCACCGCCACTTAGTGGCGAATGGCGGTTGTTGTTGTTGTTGTGTGTCTGTGTGTGTATGGTGAGTGTGTGTGTGGTGAGTGTGTGGTGAGTGTGTGGTGAGTGTGTGGTGAGTGTGGTGAGTGTGTGGTGAGTGTGTGGTGAGTGTGGTGAGTGTGTGGTGTGTGTGGTGAGTGTGTGGTGTGTGGTGTGTGGTGAGTGTGAGTGTGTGGTCTGTGTGTGTATGTGTGTGTGGTGTGTGTGTGGTGTGGTGAGTGTGTGGTGAGTGTGTGGTGAGTGTGTGGTGAGTGTGTGGTGTGTGTGGTGAGTGTGGTGAGTGTGTGGTGTGTGTGTGGTGTGTGCGGTGTGTGTGTGGTGTGTGGTGAGTGTGTGGTGAGTGTGTGGTGAGTGTGTGGTGAGTGAGTGGTGTGTGTGTGGTGTGTGAGTGTAGTGTGTGTGTGTGTGTGGTGTGTGGTGTGTGTGTGGTGTGTGTGTGGTGTGTGTGTAGTGAGTGTGTGGTGTGAGTGTGGTGAGTGTGTGGTGAGTGTGGTGAGTGTGTGGTGAGTGTGTGGTGAGTGTGTGGTGAGTGTGGCGAGTGTGTGGTTAGTGTGTGATGAGTGTGGTGAGTGTGTGGTGAGTGAGTGGTGAGTGGTGAGTGAGTGGTGAGTGTGTGGTGAGTGTGTGGTGAGTGAGTGGTGAGTGTGTGGTGAGTGTGTGGTGAGTGTGTGGTGAGTGTGGTGAGTGTGTGGTGAGTGAGTGGTGAGTGTGTGGTGTGTGATGAGTGTGGTGAGTGTGTGGTGAGTGTGTGGTGAGTGAGTGGTGAGTGAGTGGTGAGTGTGTGGTGAGTGTGTGGTGAGTGTGGTGAGTGTGTGGTGAGTGTGTGGTGAGTGTGTGGTGAGTGTGGTGAGTGTGTGGTGAGTGAGTGGTGAGTGTGTGGTGTGTGATGAGTGTGGTGAGTGTGTGGTGAGTGTGGTGAGTGTGTGGTGAGTGAGTGGTGAGTGAGTGGTGAGTGAGTGGTGAGTGTGTGGTGAGTGTGTGGTGAGTGAGTGGTGAGTGTGTGGTGAGTGTGTGGTGAGTGTGTGGTGAGTGTGGTGAGTGTGTGGTGAGTGAGTGGTGAGTGTGTGGTGTGTGATGAGTGTGGTGAGTGTGTGGTGAGTGTGTGGTGAGTGAGTGGTGAGTGAGTGGTGAGTGTGTGGTGAGTGTGTGGTGAGTGTGGTGAGTGTGTGGTGAGTGTGTGGTGAGTGTGTGGTGAGTGTGGTGAGTGTGTGGTGAGTGTGGTGAGTGTGTGGTGAGTGAGTGGTGAGTGTGTGGTGTGTGATGAGTGTGGTGAGTGTGTGGTGAGTGAGTGGTGAGTGTGTGTGGTGGGTGTGGTGTGTGTGTGGGGTGTGTGTGTGGTGTGTGTGTGGTGAGTGTGTGGGTGTGTGTGGTGAGTGAGTGTGTGGTGAGTGTGTGGTGTGTGTGTGGTGTTTGTGGTGTGTGTGTGTGAGTGTGGTGAGTGTGTGGTCTGAGTGTGTGTGAGTGTGGTGTGTGGTGAGTGTGCGGTGTGAGTGTGGTGAGTGTGCGGTGTGTGTGGTGAGTGTGTGGTGAGTGTGTGGTGAGTGTGTGGTGAGTGTGTGGTGAGTGTGGTGAGTGTGTGGTGAGTGTGTGGTGAGTGAGTGGTGTGTGTGTGTGTGCGGTGTGTGTGCAGTGTGTGTGTGGTGTGTGAGTGTGTGGTGAGTGTGTGGTGAGTGAGTGGTGAGTGAGTGGTGAGTGTGTGGTGAGTGTGTGGTGAGTGTGTGGTGAGTGAGTGGTGAGTGAGTGGTGAGGCCCTCACGTGCACAACAGACTCCAGGTTGCCAGATGCCAGCTCCTCCTGTAACTTCTGAGCCTTCAGCTGCCGCTTAGCCTGCAAATCAGACAGCAAGGGAGTTGGTGAGTGTGTGGGTGAGTGGGTGAGTGAGTGGGTGAGTGGGTGAGTGAGTGAGTGGGTGAGTGGGTGAGTGGGTGAGCGAGCTGGTGAGTGAGTTGGTGAGTGGTGAGTGAGTTGGTGAGCGAGTGAGTTGGCGAGCGAGTTGGCGAGTGAGTTGGTGAGTGAGTTGGTGAGTGAGTTGGTGAGCGAGTGAGTTGGCGAGCGAGTTGGCGAGTGAGCTGGTGAGCGAGTTGGTGAGCGAGCGAGTTGGTGAGCGAGTTGGTGAGTGAGCTGGTGAGCGAGCTGGTGAGCGAGTTGGTGAGCGAGTGAGTTGGTGAGTGAGTTGGTGAGTGAGTTGGTGAGTGAGTTGGTGAGCGAGTTGGTGAGCGAGCTGGTGAGCGAGTTGGTGAGCGAGTTGGTGAGTGAGTTGGTGAGTGAGCTGGTGAGCGAGCTGGTGAGCGAGTTGGTGAGCGAGTTGGTGAGCGAGCGAGTTGGTGAGCGAGTTGGTGAGCGAGTTGGTGAGCGAGCTGGTGAGCGAGTTGGTGAGTGAGCTGGTGAGTGAGTTGGTGAGCGAGTTGGTGAGCGAGCGAGTTGGTGAGTGAGTTGGTGAGTGAGCTGGTGAGTGAGCTGGTGAGCGAGCTGGTGAGCGAGTTGGTGAGTGAGCTGGTGAGCGAGTTGGTGAGTGAGTTGGTGAGCGAGCTGGTGACCGAGTTGGTGAGCGAGTGAGTTGGTGAGCGAGCTGGTGAGCGAGTTGGTGAGCGAGCGAGCTGGTGAGCGAGTTGGTGAGCGAGCTGGTGAGCGAGTTGGTGAGCGAGTTGGTGAGCGAGTGAGTTGGTGAGTGAGTTGGTGAGCGAGCGAGTTGGTGAGCGAGTTGGTGAGCGAGTTGGTGAGCGAGTTGGTGAGCGAGTTGGTGAGCGAGCTGGTGAGTGAGTTGGTGAGCGAGTTGGTGAGCGAGTTGGTGAGTGAGCTGGTGAGCGAGTTGGTGAGTGAGCTGGTGCGTGAGCTGGTGAGTGAGTTGGTGAGCGAGCGAGTTGGTGAGCGAGCTGGTGAGCGAGCTGGTGAGCGAGTTGGTGAGCGAGCGAGCTGGTGAGCGAGTTGGTGAGTGAGCTGGTGAGTGAGTTGGTGAGCGAGTTGGTGAGCGAGTTGGTGAGTGAGCTGGTGAGCGAGTTGGTGAGCGAGCTGGTGAGTGAGCTGGTGAGCGAGCTGGTGAGTGAGCTGGTGAGCGAGTTGGTGAGCGAGTTGGTGAGTGAGTTGGTGAGCGAGTGAGCTGGTGAGCGAGTTGGTGAGCGAGTTGGTGAGTGAGCTGGTGAGCGAGTTGGTGAGCGAGTTGGTGAGCGAGCTGGTGAGCGAGTTGGTGAGCGAGCGAGTTGGTGAGTGAGCTGGTGAGCGAGTTGGTGAGCGAGTGAGTTGGTGAGCGAGCTGGTGAGCGAGCTGGTGAGTGAGTTGGTGAGCGAGCTGGTGAGCGAGCTGGTGAGCGAGCTGGTGAGCGAGTTGGTGAGCGAGCTGGTGAGCGAGTTGGTGAGCGAGTTGGTGAGCGAGTTGGTGAGCGAGTTGGTGAGTGAGTGAGTTGGTGAGCGAGTTGGTGAGTGAGTGAGTTGGTGAGCGAGTTGGTGAGCGAGTGAGTTGGCGAGCGAGTTGGCGAGTGAGTTGGTGAGCGAGTTGGTGAGTGAGTTGGTGAGCGAGCTGGTGAGTGAGATGGTGAGTGAGTTGGTGAGCGAGCTGGTGAGCAAGTGAGTTGGTGAGTGAGTTGGTGAGTGAGCGAGTTGGTGAGCGAGTGAGTTGGTGATGGAGTTGGTGAGTGAGTTGGTGAGCGAGTGAGTTGGTGAGTGAGTTGGTGAGCGAGTGAGTTGGTGAGCGAGCTGGTGAGCGAGCGAGTTGGTGAGCGAGTTGGTGAGCGAGCTGGTGAGCGAGTTGGTGAGCGAGTTGGTGAGTGAGTTGGTGAGCGAGCTGGTGAGCGAGCTGGTGAGCGAGCTGGTGAGCGAGTTGGTGAGCGAGCTGGTGAGGGAGCTGGTGAGCGAGCGAGTTGGTGAGCGAGTTGGTGAGCGAGTTGGCGAGCGAGCTGGTGAGCGAGTGAGTTGGTGAGTGAGTTGGTGAGCGAGCGAGTTGGTGAGCGAGTTGGTGAGCGAGCGAGCTGGTGAGCGAGTTGGTGAGCGAGCTGGTGAGCGAGCTGGTGAGCGAGTTGGTGAGCGAGTTGGTGAGTGAGTTGGTGAGCGAGTTGGTGAGCGAGTTGGTGAGCGAGTTGGTGAGCGAGTGAGTTGGTGAGTGAGTTGGTGAGCGAGCGAGTTGGTGAGCGAGTTGGTGAGCGAGCGAGCTGGTGAGCGAGTTGGTGAGCGAGCTGGTGAGTGAGATGGTGAGCGAGTTGGTGAGCGAGCGAGTTGGTGAGCGAGTTGGTGAGCGAGCTGGTGAGTGAGCTGGTGAGCGAGTTGGTGAGCGAGTGAGTTGGTGAGTGAGTTGGTGAGCGAGCGAGTTGGTGAGCGAGTTGGTGAGCGAGCGAGCTGGTGAGCGAGTTGGTGAGCGAGCTGGTGAGTGAGGTGGTGAGCGAGTTGGTGAGCGAGCGAGTTGGTGAGCGAGTTGGTGAGCGAGCTGGTGAGCGAGCTGGTGAGCGAGTTGGTGAGCGAGTGAGTTGGTGAGTGAGTTGGTGAGCGAGCGAGTTGGTGAGCGAGTTGGTGAGCGTGCGAGCTGGTGAGCGAGTTGGTGAGCGAGCTGGTGAGCGAGCTGGTGAGCGAGTTGGTGAGCGAGCGAGCTGGTGAGCGAGTTGGTGAGCGAGCTGGTGAGCGAGCCTCACCGAGTCGATCTTGGCGTACTCGTGCACGATGCGCGAGTTGGTGAGTGAGCTGGTGAGTGAGCTGGTGAGTGAGTTGGTGAGCGAGCGAGTTGGTGAGCGAGTGAGTTGGTGAGTGAGTTGGTGAGCGAGCTGGTGAGTGAGTTGGTGAGCGAGCGAGCTGGTGAGCGAGTTGGTGAGCGAGCTGGTGAGCGAGTTGGTGAGCGAGCCTCACCGAGTCGATCTTGGCGTACTCGTGCACGATGCGCGAGTGCTCCGAGGGGTCGTAGCCGTTCCAGCGGTCGCGTTTGCCGTCAAAGTCGAAGGCGAGAGTCGGCTGGGCAAACTCGTCGGGGGCGATGTCGGCACCGGTGTGCTGGGCACCCACACGGCGAGGACGCTGCCGCGGGGGGAGTAGCACTCACTCAGCCAGTCACTCACTCACTCAGCCACTCACTCAGTCACTCACTCAGCCACTCACTCACTCAGCCACTCACTCACTCAGCCACTCACTCACCCAGCCACTCACTCACTCAGCCAGTCACTCACTCAGCCACTCACTCACTCAGCCAGTCACTCACTCAGCCACTCACTCACTCAGCCACTCACTCAGCCACTCACTCACTCAGTCACTCACTCAGCCACTCACTCGCTCAGCCACTCACTCACTCAGCCACTCACTCAGTCAGTCACTCAGTCACTCGCTCAGCCACTCACTCGCTCAGCCACTCACTCGCTCAGCCACTCACTCACTCAGCCACTCACTCACTCAGCCACTCACTCACTCGCTCGCTCAGCCACTCACTCACTCAGCCACTCACTCACTCAGCCACTCACTCACTCAGCCACTCACTCAGCCACTCACCCACTCACTCAGCCACCCACTCACTCAGCCACTCACTTAGGCACTCACTCACTCAGCCACTCAGCCACTCACTCAGCCACTCACTCAGCCACTCACTCAGTCAGTCACTCACTCAGCCACTCACTCAGCCACTCACTCACTCAGCCACTCACTCACTCAGCCACTCGCTCACTCAGCCACTCGCTCACTTGCCCGCTCACCAACCAACGCACCAACCCACCTACCAACCAACCCACATAACCAACCAACCCACCCACCAACCCACCCACCCACCAACCAACCCACCCACCCACCAATCCACCAAGCAACCAACCCACCCACGCACCCACCAACCCACCCACCAACCAACCCATCCACCCTCCCACCCACCCACCAATCCACCCACCCACGCACACACCAACCCACCCCAACCACCCACCAACCCACCTACCAACCAACCCACCCACCTACCAACCAACCCACCCACCCACGCACCCACCCACCCACCAACTCACCAACCCACCCACCCACCAACCCACCCAACCAACCCACCCACCAACAAACCCACCCACCAACCCACCCACCAACCCACCCACCCACCAACCCACCCACCCACCAACCCACCCACCCACCAACCCACCCACCCACCAACCCACCCACCCACCAACCTCCATGCAGTCTTTCTTTTTGTGAGTGGTGGCGCCGCAGTTGCCGCAGGCTCCCTTGCGAAACTTGGTGGCGACCGATTGCTGCGGAGGTTCCACACAAGGGCAAAGGTCCCCCAGGTAGCTCACGCGGGGTGTCGGGGCAAGTGCTGAGACACAGCTCCCCCAGGTAGCCTCTAGCAGGGCTGTAGGGGCAAGTGCTGAGACACGGACAAAGCTCCCCCAGGTAGCCTCTAGCAGGGCTGTAGGGGCAAGTGCTGAGACACAGACAAAGCTCCCCCAGGTAGCTCACACGGGGTGTCGGGGCAAGTGCTGAGACACGGACAAAGCTCCCCCAGGTAGCCTCTAGCAGGGCTGTAGGGGCAAGTGCTGAGACACAGACAAAGCTCCCCCAGGTAGCCTCTAGCAGGGTGTCGGGGCAAGTGCTGAGACACAGACAAAGCTCCCCCAGGTAGCCTCTAGCAGTGCTGTAGGGGCAAGTGCTGTTAGCAGCGAGCAACAGAGGCAAAGCTCCCCAGGTAGCCTCTAGTAGGGCTGTAGGGGCAAGTGCTGAGACACAGACAAAGTTCCCCCAGGTAGCCTCTAGCAGGGCTGTAGGGGCAAGTGCTGAGACACAGACAAAGCTCCCCCAGGTAGTCTCTGGCAGGGCTGTAGGGGCAAGTGCTGAGACACAGACAAAGCTCCCCCAGGTAGCCTCTAGCAGGGCTGTAGGGGCAAGTGCTGAGACACAGACAAAGCTCCCCCAGGTAGCCCCTGGCAGGGCTGTAGGGGCAAGTGCTGAGACACAGACAAAGCTCCCCCAGGTAGCCTCTAGCAGGGCTGTAGGGGCAAGTGCTGAGACACAGACAAGTTCCCCCAGGTAGCCTCTAGCAGGGCTGTAGGGGCAAGTGCTGAGACACAGACAAAGCTCCCCCAGGTAGCCTCTAGCAGGGCTGTAGGGGCAAGTGCTGAGACACAGACAAAGCTCCCCCAGGTAGCCTCTAACAGTGCTGTAGGGGCAAGTGCTGAGACACAGACAAAGCTCCCCCAGGTAGCCTCTAGCAGGGCTGTAGGGGCAAGTGCTGAGACACAGACAAAGCTCCCCCAGGTAGCCTCTAACAGTGCTGTAGGGGCAAGTGCTGAGACACAGACAAAGCTCCCCCAGGTAGCCTCTAACAGTGCTGTAGGGGCAAGTGCTGAGACATAGACAAAGCTCCCCCAGGTAGCCTCTAACAGTGCTATAGGGGCAAGTGCTGTTAGCAGCAGCAGCAGCAGCGTCTATGAAGGCTACCGGCACTGTGGCTACACACACAGAGGGGGTGGGTGGCTACCAGCACCACCACCACGCCCGGCCGCCTTTGTCTCTCCCCCAGTGCTGGCGACGTTGACTACCTCACACCACAGCACACGGGACTCATTTTTAAGGCCGAGTTGACCTAGGGAAAGGCCCAGATAATAGCAATTGCACCTCCACTCGCTCACCATTGTTCCTGAGCGGGTGAGTGGGTGAGTGAGTGAGTGAGTGGGTGAGTGGGTGGGTGAGTGAGTGGGTGAGTGAGTGGGTGAGTGGGTGGGTGGGTGGGTGAGTGGGTGGGTGAGTGGGTGGGTGAGTGGGTGGGTCAGTGGGTGGGTGGGTGAGTGGGTGAGTGAGTGAGTGGGTGAGTGAGTGGGTGGGTGGGTGAGTGGGTGAGTGGGTGGGTGGGTGAGTCAGTGAGTGAGTGGGTGAGTGAGTCAGTCAGTCAGTCAGAGGGTGAGTGAGCAAGTGAGTGAGTGCGTGGGTGGGTGGATGAGTGGGTGGGTGGGTGGGTGAGTGGGTGGGTGGGTGTGTGAGTGGGTGGGTAAGTGGGTGGGTGGGTGAGTGGGTGGGTGGGTGAGTGGGTGAGTGAGTGAGTGGGTGAGTGAGTGGGTGGGTGAGTGAGTGAGTGGGTGGGTGAGTGAGTGAGTGAGTGGGTGGGTGGGTGAGTGGGTGGGTGAGTGAGTGAGTGAGTGGGTGAGTGGGTGAGTGGGTGAGTGAGTGGGTGAGTGGGTGGGTGAGTGAGTGGGTGGGTGAGTGAGTGAGTGGGTGAGTCAGTGGATGAGTGAGTGAGTGAGCAAGTGAATGGGTGAGCGGGTGAGCGAATGAGCGAGCGAGTGAACGAGCGAGCGAGCGATCAACTCACGGTATTGACGCCTCTGTGGAACCATTGACTACAGTCCGTGAACTCGTACTGCCTCTCCGGCTGGGGCCTCTGGTGCTTGAGGGTCGGCCTCTTGCTGGGGTCCACGTACCAAGGCACGGACGAGATGTACTGGGGGATGTGCGGGTTGATGTCTCTGTAGGGGGAGACGCGGAGAGAGGGGGGAGACGTCCATGTGAGGGCACAGGGTCAGAACGAGAGACGGACACTCCACAAACACAGCAGCAGCAGTGGCAGCAGCAGGCATCGTCAGGGTCAAAACCCACGACCTCCTGTAGACCAGGCGAGGGAGGCAACATCTCCCAAGCCACTGTAGGGTCAGGGTCAAATCCACGACCTCCTGTAGACCAAGCGAGGTAGTCAACATCTCCACTGTGGTGTTAGGGTCCGGGATGGAACCCACGACCTCCTGTATACCAGGCGAGGTAGTCAACATCCCTCAGCTGTCAGGGATGGAACCCACGACCTCCTGTAGACCAGGCGAGGTAGTCAACATCTCCCAAGCCACTGTAGGGTCAGGGTCAAAACCCACGACCTCCGGTAGAACAGGCGAGGCAGTCAACATCTCCACTGTGGTGTTAGGGTCCGGGATGGAACCCACGACCTCCTGTAGACCTGGCGAGGTAGTCAACATCCCTCAGCTGTCAGGGATGGAACCCACGACCTCCTGTAGACCAGGCGAGGTAGTCAACATCTCTCAGCTGTCAGGGATGGAACCCACGACCTCCTGTAGACCAGGCGAGGTAGTCAACATCTCGCAGCTGTCAGGGATGGAACCCACGACCTCCTGTAGACCTGGCGAGGTAGTCAACATCCCTCAGCTGTCAGGGATGGAACCCACGACCTCCTGTAGTCCTGGCGAGGTAGTCAACATCTCTCAGCTGTCAGGGATGGAACCCACGACCTCCTGTATACCAGGCGAGGTAGTCAACATCTCTCAGCTGTCAGGGATGGAACCCACGACCTCCTGTAGACCTGGCGAGGTAGTCAACATCTCTCAGCTGTCAGGGATGGAACCCACGACCTCCTGTATACCAGGCGAGGTAGTCAACATCTCTCAGCTGTCAGGGATAGAACCCACGACCACCTGTAGACCGGGCGAGGTAGTCAACATCTCTCAGCTGTCAGGGATGGAACCCACGACCTCCTGTAGACCAGGCGAGGTAGTCAACATCTCTCAGCTGTCAGGGATGGAACCCACGACCTCCTGTATACCAGGCGAGGTAGTCAAAATCTCTCAGCTGTCATGGATGGAACCCACGACCTCCTGTATACCAGGCGAGGTAGTCAACATCTCTCAGCTGTCAGGGATGGAACCCACGACCTCCTGTATAACAGGCGAGGTAGTCAACATCTCTCAGCTATCAGGGATGGAACCCACGACCTCCTGTAGACCAGGCGAGGTAGTCAACATCTCTCAGCTGTCAGGGATGGAACCCACGACCTCCTGTATACCAAGCGAGGTAGTCAACATCTCTCAGCTGTTAGGGATGGAACCCACGACCTCCTGTAGACCAGGCGAGGTAGTCAACATCTCTCAGCTATCAGGGATGGAACCCACGACCTCCTGTAAACCAGGCGAGGTAGTCAACATCTCTCAGCTGTCAGGGATGGAACCCACGACCTCCTGTAGACCAGGCGAGGTAGTCAACATCTCGCAGCTGTCAGGGATGGAACCCACGACCTCCTGTAGACCTGGCGAGGTAGTCAACATCCCTCAGCTGTCAGGGATGGAACCCACGACCTCCTGTAGTCCTGGCGAGGTAGTCAACATCTCTCAGCTGTCAGGGATGGAACCCACGACCTCCTGTATACCAGGCGAGGTAGTCAACATCTCTCAGCTGTCAGGGATGGAACCCACGACCTCCTGTAGACCTGGCGAGGTAGTCAACATCTCTCAGCTGTCAGGGATGGAACCCACGACCTCCTGTATACCAGGCGAGGTAGTCAACATCTCTCAGCTGTCAGGGATGGAACCCACGACCTCCTGTAGACCAGGCGAGGTAGTCAACATCTCTCAGCTGTAAGGGATGGAACCCACGACCTCCTGTATACCAGGCGAGGTAGTCAAAATCTCTCAGCTGTCATGGATGGAACCCACGACCTCCTGTATACCAGGCGAGGTAGTCAACATCTCTCAGCTGTCAGGGATGGAACCCACGACCTCCTGTATAACAGGCGAGGTAGTCAACATCTCTCAGCTATCAGGGATGGAACCCACGACCTCCTGTAGACCAGGCGAGGTAGTCAACATCTCTCAGCTGTCAGGGATGGAACCCACGACCTCCTGTATACCAAGCGAGGTAGTCAACATCTCTCAGCTGTTAGGGATGGAACCCACGACCTCCTGTAGACCAGGCGAGGTAGTCAACATCTCTCAGCTATCAGGGATGGAACCCACGACCTCCTGTAAACCAGGCGAGGTAGTCAACATCTCTCAGCTGTCAGGGATGGAACCCACGACCTCCTGTATACCAGGCGAGGTAGTCAACATCTCTCAGCTGTCAGGGATGGAACCCACGACCTCCTGTAGACCAGGCGAGGTAGTCAACATCTCTCAGCTGTCAGGGATGGAACCCACGACCTCCTGTAGACCAGGCGAGGTAGTCAACATCTCTCAGCTGTCAGGGATGGAACCCACAACCTCCTGTAGACCTGGCGAGGTAGTCAACATCTCTCAGCTGTCAGGGATGGAACCCACGACCTCCTGTAGACCAGGCGAGGTAGTCAACATCTCTCAGCTGTCAGGGATGGAACCCACGACCTCCTGTATACCAGGCGAGGTAGTCAACATCTCTCAGCTGTCAGGGATGGAACCCACGACCTCCTGTAGACCAGGCGAGGTAGTCAACATCTCTCAGCTGTCAGGGATGGAACCCACAACCTCCTGTAGACCTGGCGAGGTAGTCAACATCTCTCAGCTGTCAGGGATGGAACCCACGACCTCCTGTAGACCAGGCGAGGTAGTCAACATCTCTCAGCTGTCAGGGATGGAACCCACGACCTCCTGTATACCAGGCGAGGTAGTCAACATCTCTCAGCTGTCAGGGATGGAACCCACGACCTTCTGTATACCAGGCGAGGTAGTCAACATCTCTCAGCTGTCAGGGATGGAACCCACGACCTCCTGTAGACCAGGCGAGGTAGTCAACATCTCTCAGCTGTCAGGGATGGAACCCACGACCTCCTGTACACCTGGCGAGGTAGTCAACATCTCTAAGCTATCAGGGATGGAACCCACAACCTCATGTAGACCAGGCGAGGTAGTCAACATCTCTCAGCTGTCAGGGATGGAACCCACGACCTCCTGTAGACCAGGCGAGGTAGTCAACATCTCTCAGCTGTCAGGGATGGAATCCACGACCTCCTGTAGACCAGGCGAGGTAGTCAACATCTCTCAGCTATCAGGGATGGAACCCACGACCTCCTGTAGACCGGGCGAGGTAGTCAACATCTCTCAGCTGTCAGGGATGGAACCCACGACCTCCTGTAGACCAGGCGAGGTAGTCAACATCTCTCAGCTGTCAGGGATGGAACCCACGACCTCCTGTAGACCAGGCGAGGTAGTCAACATCTCTCAGCTGTCAGGGATGGAACCCACGACCTCCTGTAGACCAGGCGAGGTAGTCAACATCTCTCAGCTGTCAGGGATGGAACCCACGACCTCCTGTATAACAGGCGAGGTAGTCAACATCTCTCAGCTGTCAGGGATGGAACCCACGACCTCCTGTAGACCAGGCGAGGTAGTCAACATCTCTCAGCTGTCAGGGATGGAACCCACGACCTCCTGTAGACCAGGCGAGGTAGTCAACATCTCTCAGCTGTCAGGGATGGAACCCACGGCCTCCTGTAGACCGGGCGAGGTAGTCAACATCTCTCAGCTGTCAGGGATGGAACCCACGACCTCCTGTAGACCAGGCGAGGTAGTCAACATCTCTCAGCTGTCAGGGATGGAACCCACGACCTCCTGTAGACCTGGCGAGGTAGTCAACATCTCTCAGCTGTCAGGGATGGAACCCACGACCTCCTGTATACCAGGCGAGGTAGTCAACATCTCTCAGCTGTCAGGGATAGAACCCACGACCACCTGTAGACCGGGCGAGGTAGTCAACATCTCTCAGCTGTCAGGGATGGAACCCACGACCTCCTGTAGACCAGGCGAGGTAGTCAACATCTCTCAGCTGTAAGGGATGGAACCCACGACCTCCTGTATACCAGGCGAGGTAGTCAAAATCTCTCAGCTGTCAGGGATGGAACCCACGACCTCCTGTATACCAGGCGAGGTAGTCAACATCTCTCAGCTGTCAGGGATGGAACCCACGACCTCCTGTATAACAGGCGAGGTAGTCAACATCTCTCAGCTATCAGGGATGGAACCCACGACCTCCTGTAGACCAGGCGAGGTAGTCAACATCTCTCAGCTGTCAGGGATGGAACCCACGACCTCCTGTATACCAAGCGAGGTAGTCAACATCTCTCAGCTGTTAGGGATGGAACCCACGACCTCCTGTAGACCAGGCGAGGTAGTCAACATCTCTCAGCTATCAGGGATGGAACCCACGACCTCCTGTAAACCAGGCGAGGTAGTCAACATCTCTCAGCTGTCAGGGATGGAACCCACGACCTCCTGTAGACCAGGCGAGGTAGTCAACATCTCGCAGCTGTCAGGGATGGAACCCACGACCTCCTGTAGACCTGGCGAGGTAGTCAATATCCCTCAGCTGTCAGGGATGGAACCCACGACCTCCTGTAGTCCTGGCGAGGTAGTCAACATCTCTCAGCTGTCAGGGATGGAACCCACGACCTCCTGTATACCAGGCGAGGTAGTCAACATCTCTCAGCTGTCAGGGATGGAACCCACGACCTCCTGTAGACCTGGCGAGGTAGTCAACATCTCTCAGCTGTCAGGGATGGAACCCACGACCTCCTGTATACCAGGCGAGGTAGTCAACATCTCTCAGCTGTCAGGGATGGAACCCACGACCTCCTGTAGACCAGGCGAGGTAGTCAACATCTCTCAGCTGTAAGGGATGGAACCCACGACCTCCTGTATACCAGGCGAGGTAGTCAACATCTCTCAGCTGTCATGGATGGAACCCACGACCTCCTGTATACCAGGCGAGGTAGTCAACATCTCTCAGCTGTCAGGGATGGAACCCACGACCTCCTGTATAACAGGCGAGGTAGTCAACATCTCTCAGCTATCAGGGATGGAACCCACGACCTCCTGTAGACCAGGCGAGGTAGTCAACATCTCTCAGCTGTCAGGGATGGAACCCACGACCTCCTGTATACCAAGCGAGGTAGTCAACATCTCTCAGCTGTTAGGGATGGAACCCACGACCTCCTGTAGACCAGGCGAGGTAGTCAACATCTCTCAGCTATCAGGGATGGAACCCACGACCTCCTGTAAACCAGGCGAGGTAGTCAACATCTCTCAGCTGTCAGGGATGGAACCCACGACCTCCTGTATACCAGGCGAGGTAGTCAACATCTCTCAGCTGTCAGGGATGGAACCCACGACCTCCTGTAGACCAGGCGAGGTAGTCAACATCTCTCAGCTGTCAGGGATGGAACCCACGACCTCCTGTAGACCAGGCGAGGTAGTCAACATCTCTCAGCTGTCAGGGATGGAACCCACAACCTCCTGTAGACCTGGCGAGGTAGTCAACATCTCTCAGCTGTCAGGGATGGAACCCACGACCTCCTGTAGACCAGGCGAGGTAGTCAACATCTCTCAGCTGTCAGGGATGGAACCCACGACCTCCTGTATACCAGGCGAGGTAGTCAACATCTCTCAGCTGTCAGGGATGGAACCCACGACCTCCTGTAGACCAGGCGAGGTAGTCAACATCTCTCAGCTGTCAGGGATGGAACCCACAACCTCCTGTAGACCTGGCGAGGTAGTCAACATCTCTCAGCTGTCAGGGATGGAACCCACGACCTCCTGTAGACCAGGCGAGGTAGTCAACATCTCTCAGCTGTCAGGGATGGAACCCACGACCTCCTGTATACCAGGCGAGGTAGTCAACATCTCTCAGCTGTCAGGGATGGAACCCACGACCTTCTGTATACCAGGCGAGGTAGTCAACATCTCTCAGCTGTCAGGGATGGAACCCACGACCTCCTGTAGACCAGGCGAGGTAGTCAACATCTCTCAGCTGTCAGGGATGGAACCCACGACCTCCTGTAGACCTGGCGAGGTAGTCAACATCTCTCAGCTGTCAGGGATGGAACCCACAACCTCCTGTAGACCTGGCGAGGTAGTCAACATCTCTCAGCTGTCAGGGATGGAACCCACGACCTCCTGTAGACCAGGCGAGGTAGTCAACATCTCTCAGCTGTCAGGGATGGAACCCACGACCTCCTGTATACCAGGCGAGGTAGTCAACATCTCTCAGCTGTCAGGGATGGAACCCACGACCTCCTGTAGACCAGGCGAGGTAGTCAACATCTCTCAGCTGTCAGGGATGGAACCCACAACCTCCTGTAGACCTGGCGAGGTAGTCAACATCTCTCAGCTGTCAGGGATGGAACCCACGACCTCCTGTAGACCAGGCGAGGTAGTCAACATCTCTCAGCTGTCAGGGATGGAACCCACGACCTCCTGTATACCAGGCGAGGTAGTCAACATCTCTCAGCTGTCAGGGATGGAACCCACGACCTTCTGTATACCAGGCGAGGTAGTCAACATCTCTCAGCTGTCAGGGATGGAACCCACGACCTCCTGTAGACCAGGCGAGGTAGTCAACATCTCTCAGCTGTCAGGGATGGAACCCACGACCTCCTGTAGACCAGGCGAGGTAGTCAACATCTCTCAGCTGTCAGGGATGGAACCCACGACCTCCTGTATAACAGGCGAGGTAGTCAACATCTCTCAGCTGTCAGGGATGGAACCCACGACCTCCTGTAGACCAGGCGAGGTAGTCAACATCTCTCAGCTGTCAGGGATGGAACCCACGACCTCCTGTAGACCAGGCGAGGTAGTCAACATCTCTCAGCTGTCAGGGATGGAACCCACGGCCTCCTGTAGACCGGGCGAGGTAGTCAACATCTCTCAGCTGTCAGGGATGGAACCCACGACCTCCTGTAGACCAGGCGAGGTAGTCAACATCTCTCAGCTGTCAGGGATGGAACCCACGACCTCCTGTATAACAGGCGAGGTAGTCAACATCTCTCAGCTGTCAGGGATGGAACCCACGACCTCCTGTAGACCAGGCGAGGTAGTCAACATCTCTCAGCTGTCAGGGATGGAACCCACGGCCTCCTGTAGACCGGGCGAGGTAGTCAACATCTCTCAGCTGTCAGGGATGGAACCCACGACCTCCTGTAGACCAGGCGAGGTAGTCAACATCTCCCTAGACACTGCGGTGTTAGGGTCAAACCCACGACCTCCTGAGTACCATGGGGAGAGAGACGCAGACTCCACATACACAGCAATAGCAGTGTGTACCCTACACTGTGTCTACACTACACTACAGTGTGACTACACTACACTACAGTGTGACTACACTACACTACAGTGACTACACTACACTACAGTGTGTCTACACTACACTACAGTGTGACTACACTACACTACAGTGTGACTACACTACACTACAGTGTGACTACACTACACTACAGTGTGACTACACTACACTACAGTGTGACTACACTACACTACAGTGTGTCTACACTACACTACAGTGTGACTACACTACACTACAGTGACTACACTACACTACAGTGTGTCTACACTACACTACAGTGTGACTACACTACACTACAGTGTGACTACACTACACTACAGTGTGACTACACTACACTACAGTGTGACTACACTACACTACAGTGTGACTACACTACACTACAGTGTGACTACACTACACTACAGTGTGACTACACTACACTACAGTGTGACTACACTACACTACAGTGTGTCTACACTACACTACAGTGACTACACTACACTACAGTGTGTCTACACTACACTACAGTGTGACTACACTACGCTACAGTGTGACTACACTACACTACAGTGACTACACTACACTACAGTGTGTCTACACTACACTATAGTGACTACACTACACTACAGTGACTACACTACACTACAGTGACTACACTACAGAGGGAGTCACCCCAACCACCACCACCACCACCACCCCCACCACCACCACCACCCTCACCACCACCACCACCCCCACCACCACCACCACCACCCCCACCACCCTCACCACCACCACCCCCACCACCCTCACCACCACCACCACCCTCACCACCACCACCACCACCCTCACCACCACCACCACCACCACCCTCACCACCACCACCCTCACCACCACCACCACCCCCACCACCCCCACCACCCTCACCACCACCACCCTCACCACCACCACCCCCACCACCCTCACCACCACCACCCCCACCACCCTCACCACCACCACCACCCTCACCACCACCACCACCACCACCCTCACCACCACCACCCCCACCACCCTCACCACCACCACCCCCACCACCCTCACCACCACCACCACCACCCTCACCCCCACCACCACCCCCACCACCACCACCACCCCCACCACCCCCACCACCCTCACCACCACCACCACCACCCCCACCACCACCCCCACCACCACCCCCACCACCACCACCACCCCCACCACCCTCACCACCACCACCCCCACCACCCTCACCACCACCACCACCCTCACCACCACCACCACCACCACCCTCACCACCACCACCCCCACCACCCTCACCACCACCACCCCCACCACCCTCACCACCACCACCACCACCCTCACCCCCACCACCACCCCCACCACCACCACCACCCCCACCACCCCCACCACCCTCACCACCACCACCACCACCCCCACCACCACCCCCACCACCACCCCCACCACCACCACCACCCCCACCACCCTCACCACCACCACCCCCACCACCCTCACCACCACCACCATCACCACCACCACCACCCCCACCCACACCACCACCCCCACCACCACCACCACCCTCACCTTCCCTCCTCGTCCACCTCGGCCGGAGCGTTCCCGAGTTTCCGCTGCTCCTCGAGCTCCTTCTTCTTCCTCCAGTCCTCTCGCGTCAACTTCTTGGGCTCCTCGCCGCCGACGCCGCCGCCAACGCCGCCAACGCCGCCGCCATCCACTCCCGCCTGGGGGTCCCTGAAGTCTATAACCCCGGCGGAGGCCATCGTCGCCGACCTCGGCGGCGGGGGACCGCTAGGCAAGGGGCTAGGCTTCGCGGGACGAGCGGGTAGGCCTCGAACGCTGCAAACGTGAGGCGATGATGTTGTTATTTATTTATTTTGTTGTACAAGCACGCGTACTCAACTCTACTGAGTGTGTGTACTGAGTGTGTGTACTGAGTGTGTGTACTGAGTGTGTGTACTCTGAGTGTGTGTACTGAGTGTGTGTACTGAGTGTGTGTACTGAAGGTGTAGACACTACTGAGTGTGTGTACTGAGTGTGTTGTCCCTCGACCTCGGCGGTGGGGGACCGCTAGGCAAGGCGCTAGGCTTCGCGGGACGAGCGGGTAGGCCTCGAACGCTGCAAACGTGAGGCGATGATGTTGTTATTTATTTATTTTGTTGTACAAGCACGCGTACTCAACTCTACTGAGTGTGTGTACTCTGAGTGTGTGTACTTTGAGTGTGTGTACTCTGAGTGTGTGTACTCTGAGTGTGTGTACTCTGAGTGTGTGTACTCTGAGTGTGTGTACTCTGAGTGTGTGTACTCTGAGTGTGTGTACTGAAGGTGTAGACACTACTGAGTGTGTGTACTGAGTGTGTTGTCCCTCGACATCGGCGGCGGGGGACCGCTAGGCAAGGCGCTAGGCTTCGCGGGACGAGCGGGTAGGCCTCGAACGCTGCAAACGTGAGGCGATTATGTTTATTATTTATTTTGTTGTACAAGCACGCGTACTCAACTCTACTGAGTGTGTGTACTGAGTGTGTGTACTCTGAGTGTGTGTACTCTGAGTATGTCTACTCTGAGTGTGTGTACTCTGAGTGTGTACTGAGTGTGCCCTCGACTTCGGCGGCGGGGCTCACTAGGCAAGGCGCTAGGCTTCGCGGGACGAGCGGGTAGGCCTCGAACGCTGCAAACGTGAGGCGATGATGTTGTTATTTATTTATTTTGTTGTACAAGCACACGTACTCAACTCTACTGAGTGTGTGTGTGTACTGAGTGTGTGTACTCTGAGTGTGTGTACCCTACCGAGTGTGTACTGAGTGTGTGCCCTCGACCTCGGCGGCGGGGGACCGCTAGGCAAGGCGCTAGGCTTCGCGGGACGAGCGGGTAGGCCTCGAACGCTGCAACGCGAGGCGATGATGTTTATATTTGTATTTTGTTGTACAAGCACACGTACTCAACTCTACTGAGTGTGTGTACTCTGAGTGTGTGTACTCTAAGTGTGTACTCTGACTGTGTGTACTCTGACTGTGTGTACTCTAAGTGTGTGTACTCTGAGTGTGTGTACTCTGAGTGTGTGTACTCTGAGTGTGTGTACTCTGAGTGTGTGTACTCTGAGTGTGTGTACTCTGATTGTGTGTACTCTGATTGTGTGTACTCTAAGTGTGTGTACTCTGAGTGTGTGTACTCTGAGTGTGTGTACTCTAAGTGTGTACTCTGACTGTGTGTACTCTAAGTGTGTGTACTCTGAGTGTGTGTACTCTAAGTGTGTGTACTCTGAGTGTGTGTACTCTGAGTGTGTGTACTCTGAGTGTGTGTACTCTGAGTGTGTGTACTCTGAGTGTGCGTACTCTGAGTGTGCGTACTCTGTGTGTGTGTACTCTGAGTGTGTGTACTCTTGACTGTGTGTGTACTCTTGACTGTGTGTGTACTCTTGACTGTGTGTGTACTCTTGACTGTGTGTGTACTCTGAGTGTGTGTGCCCTCCACCTCGGCGGCGGGGGACCGCTAGGCAAGGCGCTAGGCTTCGCGGAAACGAGCGGGTAGGCCTCGAAACGCCGCGACGTCCCTCTTGTCGTTTATTTTGTCGTACAAGCAACGTGTACTCGACTCGACCGAGCGCGCGTACCCTAACCGAGCGCGCGTACCCTAACCGAGCGCGCGTACCCGAGCGTGCGACCTACCTCGGCGGCTGGGGGCTCGCTAGGCAAGGCACTAGGCTTCGCGGGGAAAGAGCGGGTAGGCCCCGGAGCGTTGCGACGTTATTAAAAAAAAATGTTTGTTATTTATCGTTAACTACTAATCGAATATTGTGTGAAGAACGTGTGAAGAACGTTAACGCGGGATGTCCCTACGTTTTACTCTCTTTTTTAGAATTTTAATGTTCTTAAGCGATAGCGACGTCTGAGGAGGGCTGGGGTGGTGGTGGAACTATTTTGTCGCTGCGCGCATGGAGACACAAAATTTTTTTTTATTCGCGAAGGCGAAGACGCGGAGGGATACGGCGGAGGTGGAAGCCGTGATGCGGTTTCATTTATATGTCAATAATAATATTGATGCGTTGATTGTTATTGATTATTGATTGAAAGTGAGAGTTCCTTTACGTGATTAATAAAAAAAATAATCCGATGTATAAGTCTTGTGGGTGGCGGAGAGAGGCGGTGGAGGTGGAAGCCGTGATGCGGTTTCATTTACATTTGCATTTAAATGTCAATAATAATAATGATGCGTTGATTGTTATTGATTATTGATTGAAAGTGAGAATTCCTTTACGTGATTAATAAAAAAAATCTAAAAAAATCATCCGATTTATAAGTCTTGTGGGTGCCGGGGAGAGACGGTGTAGGTGGAAGCCGTGATGCGGTTTCATTGCTATTTGCATTTAATAATATTGATGCGTTGATTGTTATTGATTATTGATTGAAAGTGAGAGATCCTTTACGTGATTAATAAAAAAAATAATCCGATTTATAAGTCTTGTGGGTGGCGGAGAGAGGCGGTGGAGGTGGAAGCCGTGATGCGGTTTCATTTATATTTGCATTTAATAATAATGATGCGTGGATTGTAATTGATTATATGTCGAAAGTGTATAGTGTAGTGTATAGTAGTGTATATCAGTGTAGTGTTTAGTAGTGTATAGTGTAGTGTATAGTGTAGTGTATAGTAGTGTATAGTGTAGTGTATAGTGTAGTGTATAGTAGTGTATAGTGTAGTGTATAGTGTAGTGTATAGTGTAGTGTATAGTAGTGTATATTGTAGTAGTGTATAGTGTAGTGTATAGTAGTGTATAGTGTAGTGTATAGTAGTGTAGTGTATAGTGTAGTGTATAGTGTAGTGCATAGTGTAGTGTATAGGGTAGTGTATAGTGTAGTGTATAGTAGTGTATAGGGTAGTGTATAGTGTAGTGTATAGTGTAGTAGTGTATAGTGTAGTGTATAGTGTAGTAGTGTATAGTGTAGTAGTGTATAGTATAGTAGTGTATAGTGTAGTGTATAGTGTAGTAGTGTATAATGTAGTGTATAGGGTAGTGTATAGTGTAGTGTATAATGTAGTGTATAGTAGTGTATAGGGTAGTGTATAGTGTAGTAGTGTATAGGGTAGTGTATAGTGTAGTAGTGTATAGTGTAGTGTATAGTGTGGTGGGCAGATAAATTTGCCATGGACTTGTCAAAGGTGGTTGACGGAATCCGGCGGCAGACGATGACACACACAGACAAAGACACAACAACAACAACCGCCATTCGCCACTAAGTGGCGGTGACGTCACCACGACGATTGTGCCAGGCCATGTCCACCTTGAGGCCACGTGAAGTGTCGAACGCCCGCTGGCAGGAGGTCACGGGGCAGACCCAGGTGCCACGGGTCGACTGACTGAGATGACTGTCTGATGCACCACCTGTGCCCCCTACTGTGCCAACCTGCTGTGCTTTAGCCACCCGGCGCTCCGCTCGTTGTTCTGAGCGTCGCTCCTCCACCCTCTGTTGTTGTTGGAAGGCGGCTGCCTGCACCTGCCCAGTAGCAGCGTCCTTCACGGGCCTCCTCCACAGAGGCCGATCTTGACACCGCTGGTACCAGTCATCGGCAAGTCCACTCAGCTCTACGTCCTCCTGTACCACATCACTCCATCTCTTCTCTAGCCCGTGCCGCTACTGTTTAGCCCCCTCAATCCGGCCGAACAAAAGCTGTTTCGGCATGCGGTGGCTGGGCATGCGGGCTACATGACCCAGCCATCGCAGCCTTGCCCGCCGGAGGAGCTCACCAATGGGACCTTGCCCAGATCTTTCAAGGATTTGTGAGCTCCTCACACAATCCAGTCTGGTTAAACCCAGGATGGATCGTAGGCAGGCCAGCCTAAATGTTTCTAACCGGCGAAGATGCTCCATTAGGGGGGTCCACGTTTCGCAAGCATAGAGAAGGGAGGGAATGACCGTGGCCGAGAAGACCTGAAGCTTAGTGCGGAGCGACAGACCAGGTAGCTTCCACACAGCGTTACGCAACCGATGAAAAGATATTGCCACTCGACTGATTCGGAGTGAGACCTCTGCTGTTAAACTGGAGCTGGTCATAAGCACACTGCCCGTGTATGGGAAACTCTCCACTCTCTCCACAACTGCCCCATCACCGATTGGGAGTTGTGGGGGTGGAGTGTCCGATGGTACAAAATACCCAGGCCGGTTGCTTTGTTTTGGTGGGGCTGATGGTAAGGCCCCATCTCTTAGTGGCACGCTCCAGTCTCAGCAGCAGCGTCTCCAACTCCTCCTCTGAATGAGCAGCTATTACCAAATCATCGGCATACATAATGAAGTTGAGCGATAGGGAGCCATCCCTTGACCGCACCTGGGCATCGATCAGCCTCCCATTATATCTGTACCATATAGAGATTCCCCCGGTACAGCTATTGAAGGCTTCACGAACTACGTGGTCAAAATAGATGTTAAATAATGTGGGAGCCAGAGGACATCCCTGTCGCACCCCAAGGTGTACAGGGAAGGGCTCCGACTCCCGGCCACGTAGTTTTACCCGGGCCCGCTCACCATCATGAAGGTCCTTAATGATCGTGAGCAGAGGGTCAGGTACTCCAAAAGCACGAAGAACGACCCAGAGCCCAGGCCTACTGATGGTATCACAGGCCTTGACCAGGTCAATAAAGCAGAGATGTAGGTCTTGTTGGAATTCCCTACACCTCTGCTGTAGCAGACGGACAGAAAATATGGCATCTGTGCAGGACCGCCCTTTCCTGAAACCGCAGTGGGGCTCCGCAAGCCTCTCCTCAGCGTGCCTGGCAAGGCGATGTTGAATAATCCTTGCCAGGACCTTTCCCGGCACACTGAGGAGTGGGATGCCCCTGTAGTTGTTACAGTCTGTGCGGTCCCCCTTCTTAAAAAGGGGGACCACCAGTGCATCCTTCCAATCCTGCGGAACCCGTCCAGTGGTCCAGACTGTTGTTATGATTCATCTTCTTTGGTTCTTTCGGTAAAGTCACGTAGAATGAGAATAAAATAATAAATTGATAAAATAAAATAACACAATAATATTCTCACGACGTTTCGGCCACAACACAAGCGGCCTTCATCAGGTGAAGGGACGAGACTGTCTGGTAGGACAGCGCTGGAGTGTTGTTATGATGTCATATAGGGCAGTCTGTGCACAAACGCCACCCTCCCTCAGCATTTCACTTGGGAGATCATCTCTGCCCGCTGCCTTTCCTGGTCTCAGACTCCGGATCGCCTTCAATACTTCCTCAACAGTTGGCACTTCAGCCAGCCACTCACAGGGGGTGACTTCTTCCAATATTTGAGGCACCGCAGCCTCAGCAGGGTCATCTTCACTTTGTGCCACGATGTTTTCCTGGCTGAGGGATTTTCCCTCCCCCAGGACCTCACAGAAATGTGCTCAGCAAATCTGCAAACCTGTTCCTGGGGGTTGGAGATTGGATCACCGTTTTTTCCCCTAATGATGGTAATAGGTGTGGTGCTGCAGGTTACTTTTTTGATGGAGTTAAATAGAGATTTGTGATGGCAGGCCACTGAGGCAGACTCCATCTCCTCAGCAACCCGCGACCACCACCCATCCTTGCAGCGCCTCACGGCTCTCCGAACCTCCGAGCGAAGGCTGCGGTAAGCCTCCTCATTCTCTGACGTGGGATTCTGTAGCCGATGACAGTGGGCCTGTCGCTTTTTCTCAACCATCCTGAACACCTCCTCTGTCAGCCAGGGTCTCTGGGGAGGTCTGGACTGCGTTCCCAAAGCAGCCATTGCAGCTGCATGAATCACAGTCCTAAACCTCGCCCATTTTCCCTCGACATCAGGAGGAGTGGGGGACGATGCCAACCCCAGCCGCAAGCGATGATTAAATTCTCGCTTGCAACTTTCATCAGATAACTGAGACCAGGCCACTTTATGTTGGAATGGGGTCCTGGGTGTACACCCACCACCAGAGTGGAAGAATGGCAGGCGCATCTTACAGATGACAAGTCGATGGTCAGAGGGCAGATCAGCTCCACGGTAGGTCCTGGTGTCAAGGACATGGGCTCGCATCCGCTGGTCCGTCACTATGTAGTCCAGCAGATGTTCTTGCTTGGACCCGGCATGCATCCATGATGTTGTGTGGATGCGCCGATGCCAGAACAGCGTGTTGGTAATTACAAGCCCATGGGCTGCACAAAAATCTAGCAGCCTCCTACAGTTGTTATTGAGCTGATCTGGCCAATGTCCTCCAATTACTCCAGACCAGGTGCCAGCATCATGACCACCTCGGGCATTGAAGTCACCCAACAAGATGACTCTATCCCGAGGGGTCACTTTAGCCAGCACCTCTGATAGGAGATCATAGAAGGCATCTGACTCATCGGCTTTGCCTGCATCTCTCCACGGATGTTCGTCTTCGGTGGGGGCATAAGTAACCACGACCACCACTCCTCGCCTCCGGTTGATGGGAAGGCGAGCCCAAAGTAGCCTGGGGCTTACAGCTTCCCACACCTCACCGCCACGCTTCCACGCCCCCTTCATTATTTTGTTCAAAAGAAGAGCCACACCCTGTTGTTTGGCAGTCTGCTGCCCCGAGTAGAGGACTGTCCACCCCTCATGGTGGCAGGAGCCAGAACCGGTCCACCGGACCTCCTGAATGCCACAGAGATCCAGGCGGTTCCGGTCCAGCTCCCGACAGAGGAGTGGCAGCCTCTCATCTGCAGTGACCGTTCGAACATTCCACGTGGCCACCCGTAGTGGCTTTTCGTTGTTTCTGGAGGAGCCCCGAGGGTAGAAATTCAATCTCCTGGCTCTGCCAATTGGGGTTTGGCCAGGAGACGTCATAGACGCCTGGCCCCCCGGGGCCTCCGGCACTAGCTTATTAGTTACACACAGACACAAACTCACAGACACACACACACAGACACACACACAGACACACACAGACACACACATACACACACAGACACATACACAGACACAC